TCCCTGTAACTCAGAGTAAAGTTGCTGAGGTTGAGAAACACTGCAAACAAAAAAGAAGAAAAAAAAGCATGAGGACAACATGAGGACAGTATAGTAGTTACTGTAATGTAATAAGGGTAGCCAATAAATGTTTTCTACCTTTAAGGTTAGAAAAAGAAGTACATATTATATGATGTTAACTGCTGTCATAGCATTTTCAACAAACGCACTAGCCTTGAAACACTTTATCTCTTTTCATCTAAAATAAAGCAACATGGTGGTAGATGAATGATTCTGGAGGATTAGACGTCCCTCCTACAACTCCATGTTCACCATTTATCATTCTATAAGTACTCACCATGGTCAACTATGAATCTCAGCTTCTGAATAATGGCCAAGTTCCCGTTGACCCTATAGAGTCCATCTGCATCCAATCCTGAAAGAGAAGGACAGAACTGCTGTGAATCCCTCACATCTCCCAGAACTAGGAGGAAGATCCTAGCTGAGACAGAGCTGGAGTAGTGACCCAGGGATAGCCTACCTCTCTGTTCCACAGCTTCCACACATTGTTGTACAAATCGGGGTATTGTGCCCCCTTCTCGCTGGCACAGGGCTTCTAGCCGACAGCCAAAGACTTGATCTGGGAATAGAAATGGAAACGGTAAAGCAATTGCAGATATTTTGTTTTAGAGAGGCTACAATTATCTCAGCCAAGAAATAAATATAGATGAGCAATTTGTACACTCCAACCCCTATTTTTATAGAGCCTAGAGCAGGGGTCTCCAACCTTGGCAACTTTAAGCCTGGGGGACTTCAACTCCCAGAATTCCCCAGCTGGCTGGGAAATTCTGGGAGTTGAAGTCCCCCAGGCCTAAAGTTGCCAAGGTTGGAGAGCCATGGCCTAGAGTATCACAAGATCATGGTGCTAAAGTAAACCAGATTTTTGACTGTATCTATACACACATATCCATGGACTAAATCAACTTATTAAACCTTTCCTTGATAGATCTATTTATTTTGCTTTAAACCCCATAGTCAAATAAAAACTGTAAAAAAATAAAATAAACTATGCCACTTGTTTCCCTCAGCCACAAAAAAAACAATGGCCCCTCAGATTTTTAAACTCAGATTTGTGAATTTTAGCAATAAGCGATTTGATCCAGGAACACAGAAACAAGAAAAAAGTTAAATTTGTCTTGAGATCTGGATGAATCTGATTCTGCTGATGTTTCAAAGGGTTTTGAAGATCTGGGTCTTCACTAGGCCTTTCGTGAGGGTAAATGAACTCCTCTTGGGTAGTTTGAGGTCATTTTTCTTTCACTCCGGACTGGTTTTTGTCATCTTTGCCATTTTTATTCTTTTATTTTGTCTCTTATTATAGTCTAGTTCTTGTACCCAGCGTAACCAGCGCTGTTGAGAGTTGGCAGCATGCAAAATAAATAAATATCTAAGGATAAGGCCAATGTTTCCCCACAAAAACCTGTGAGGAAGGCCAGACTTCCAGACTTGGGGTGTGTGTGTGTGTGAAGTTCTGTGGCTCAGGATGGGTAAGAGGCAGGTTTTCCTCATTTCTGATGCAACACTTTCAGCTTTCCATCCTTCCGAGGTCAGTAAAATGAAGACCCAGATTGTTGGGGGAGGGGAGGGCAATATACTGTCTGTCTCTGTAAACCGCTTAGAGAGGGCTGTAAAGCACTGTGAAGCGATATATATATATAAGTCTAAGTCAGGGGTCTTCAAACTTGACAGCTTTAAGACTTGTGGACTTCAACTCCCAGAATTCCTCCTCCAATCATGTTAGCTCAGGAATTCTGGGAGTCGAAGTCCACAAGTCTTAAACTTGCCAAGTTTGAAGACCCTTGGTCTAAGTGCTATTGCTATAAAGCACACTAACTTTAAAAATAAATTCATGCATCAATATTTTTGGGGGGCTAGATATATAG